GGAGGCTATGAGCAACGTTGAACCACCTCTTAATTGCTGGTTCCGAGGTCTACGCTGACCCTGGATGGTTGCACCTTTTCGGGTCCCAGCTATGGAAAAATAGTTAATCCACAAACTGGTGTCAAAACACTATGAAAGTTTAAAAATAGGTTTTAATCCTAGAAATACTTTGTAAAAACAGTTATTACCAGCAATACATTTTTGAAAACAAAAAATATTATCAGCTATACATTTTTGAAAAAAAATAATTTTGAAGAAAAAATATTACCAGAAATAGATTTTTGAAGGGTAAAAATTTTACCAGCAATAAAAAACACTTTGTCGGCATTAAATAGCCCAATGAGGTTGATATGCCGTAAAAGCAAACCAAACCAAAACAAAATCAACACAGATAACGGAAGTTGATAATAACGGAAGGGTTGGCGATTAAGATAAGAAAGCAATTAGGTCTAAGGAAAGACAACCACATTATTGTAAATAAATATAGAAGATTCCAGATGGTTTCATAACGCAATCTGTTAAGAAATATTTGTTCAAACCAAAAATTAAGTATTGACTCGGTTCTAGGTGCATATTCTGGCAAGATACTCTTCAGCTGGGAGCAGTTCATGGGGAAAAAACTGTCCGACTGGAAATCTATTTTTACGAAAAGAATACGGAGGAAATGGGATGATTTGACTTTGTGCACATGTCATGGAGTGTCTTAGATGTAGAAGTAAGTAATATACCGACTGAAAATTAGCCATAAAAAATGTTTTCAAAATGTGCCTGTGGAGAAACCAGCTTTACGTGTGTAAATATGTCATCCACCAGAAGGTTCTGTGAAGTACAGTTTCGTTGTCAATAAGTGCATATTCTGCCAGTTGCCTACTTCTAAATTAGTTTACTACACAGTACTCAGTAATAGATTTATATTTGTTGTTCGGATATAAAGTGGCCTAAAAAAATGTACTCTTTAAATGAAACTAAATGCAATGTAATTGACTCGCAAATAATATTAAAAGTTAAAATTAAGAAAGATTAACGTTTCTTGACTTACAAAGAAGATTAAGTGTTTAAATTGTACAGGGTGAGGCAAAAGTTGCGCAACATTCGGATAATTTATTAATGGTATAGCGTTATTTACTAGTTATTTAATTGTTATAATTTCTGTTCAAAATATCATCCTTCTTTTCCAAAACACATTTCAATTCTGTGCCTACATGATTTATTAACACATCTATGAGTCAACTCATTTTACTGCATTCATAATTAATTCTTTCTTGATGTTCCTCAATATTTTCAAGGTGCGTGATAAAGGACTGATTTGCGCTGATAAAAAACTGATTTCAAATGGCTCTACAGAAAAAAAATCCAAGGGACTGAGATCCGATGACATCGGTGGTAGCGACTCTCTCCCTCTCTCACACTCTCTGTTTATATATATATATATATATATATATATATATATATATATATATGTGTGTGTGTGTGTGTGTGTGTATGTGTGTGTGTATGTATATATATATATATATATATATATATATATATATATATATATATATATATATATATATATATATATATATATATATATATATATATATATATATATATATATATATATATATGTGTGTGTGTGTGTGTGTGTGTGTGTGTGTGTGTGTGTGTGTGTGTGTCTTGATAAATTAAAAATGTGAAAATTAAAATTTCAGACACATCGGATTTTTGATTAATATTTTTTTTTTTTATTCAAATTAGGTTCCTCGACTAGTTTCGGCTAGTATTATCATCAACAGCAGGAAAAACAATCCCTGCTAATTAATAGCATTGGACTACAGGAGAGAATGACTGTTTTTGAAGAAAGAGAACTTTCTCTGTAGTTTTCCTTTGTCTTTTATCGTTACTTTTGGGCAGATCAAACCGGACTCATAAATAATTACATCGGTTACACAACCACATGCTTATCCAGACGCCTCACGTTACACCTATCTGATCACAGCTCCATTAGAACCCATTTAAACACTCACACAAATTTACCCGATTCCATTAGGAACATACTAGTAGAAAACACAAATATATTAACTGCATCCACCTGCAAAAAAAAGACTAAAAATAATGGAAGCTTTAATAATAAAAAAGAAAAAGCCAACTCTCGACAATATTAACTACGAACAAAGCCACAATGTGCTAACAGTATTCGGAAATTAAAAATATCCTTACACACACTAAGACACACACAGAACGCACACATGAATTAAGCTGAAAAATCGAATTATCCTTGATAATGGCTTAAGGTATACCCAAAAGCGCTCGGAAATATAAAACATTCGGACAATTCTTACACACCCTTTGTCCAGAAAAGAAAGCTCTTGTTAGAACATAAGAAAAATTAAATAAAATGCTTAATCGTAGAACCTTGTCTGTCGTTTTTAATGAAACATGTATATATATATATATATATATATATATATATATATATATATATATATATATATATATATATATACACGATGAGGCAGAATTCGTGCACCATATGGATCATTTGTTAAAAGTATACCTACACATGTAAATTTTATTCACTCGCTATTTTATGTCCGCTGTTCAAAATTTCTTCGTTTTTTTTCCAAACACATTTCAATTCTATGCCTGCATGATTCATTAATACAACGAAGCATTTCTTGCTTTCCTACACAAGTTAACTCGTTCATCATTTAGGTTTTCAAGTGTCTTAATTCGTTTGTATCTTTTCCGCAAAATAAGAAATATTTTAAAATAATAGAGATTTCTATCAGAATTAATTAATTAAACCCTATGGTGTGCGACTTTTTGCCTCTCCATGTATATTAAATGAACTTAAATGTAGCTTTAGAAATATTCGAACTGACGACTAAATCAAAATGTCAGTACATTTTTGGGGGACAAGCTATATTAATTTAACAAAAAAACTACTTATTTCTCTCTGAATGTTTCTCTCTATTCCCCTCCTGTCTGTGTACATTTTCATTTTTTGTTTCTTTCCCAATAGTTATTTTTTTGCAAGTGGAAAAATATCTAAATTTTAAAACCTGACATTGCTAACATATTGAAGTACTTCGAAAAGAATCGTTCTGATCAGTGAATTAATATAGATTTTTTTTCTTCTTATTTGAAATTCTCGGGGATAAAGAAGACAATATCAGAATAATTCGAGAACCAGTTTTTTTTTTGTTTTTTTTTTCTTACATTCATCATTTTGAAAACACTTCAATCGTAAATATAGACTTGTAGTTTTAATGATTGACTGTCAACAGCAAGCATAAACTTTAATGTGTCAACCTGTTTCTTAAAGAAAACACACACAGACTGAAATAATTTATTGAAATATATGAGGAAGGTTAATCGACCAAAAAACAAAACAAAAACAAAACAGAGTTACAACTTTAATAAAACTGCGTTGAAACCTGTCAATAAAAATACATCATTCACACTATATCTTTTAAAAGTATTTGCATAGTTCAGCAGAAAACATGTACCAGATATTGGGTTCATTACTTCATATTGTAAGTTCGACGCAACGTTTTAAAGCAAACAAAACAATGTTACAGACACGTACAGTTACTTTTTACAGAGTAGGTGTTAGACACTTTAGAATTTAGAAAACAAATTTTCAACAAAAAGACCTATAACTGTAATGAAATATTTTTAAATATTATAAAAGGAAATTTGAGTAACATTCTTATGAGCAGAAACAAATAGCGAAATTTTATAAAATGTCACTCTATTTTTATATCAGATAAAATCCCAAAATTCATTATATTTTAATAAAATTTACAAGGCATTAAAGCCACTAAGATATACAGCGTTACTGTGTTTGAAAGAATTAGAAAACAGATACATTATTGAGGAGAGTGAACAATAGACATTTAACCAGTAAGACAGAAGATAACGATTGTCATTGCATATAAATTTATGAAGAACGAATTTGACTGACAATTATGGAGCCGTAAGAGAGTTCCAAAATCGTGAAGAGCGAGAAAAGAAACTTATGTCTGCATCTAAACAATTCAACTCTAATTTGATAAGACCTTGTCGCTAATCTAGTAATGCTATAATTTCATAAATTCTAGGTACCATAGCCAGAAGCTCATCTGAACAATTACGATGAAAGTATTTATAGGAAAGGCACAGGGAAGCAACTTGATGGCGGTGGGAAATTGACTGGGACCAAGACGTCAGCCCAGGACCAATAATATTGTTGATTCTTCTTTTGATTTTATCAAGCATCTCTGAATATATAGCAGGAGCACCAGGCCATATGTGGCAGCAATATTTCAGACATGGACGAAGGATAAACTTATAGATGTGTCATATATATATATATATATATATATATATATATATATATATATATATATATATATATATATATATATATATTCATCAGAGAAACATTGTCTAGCACGACGCATTGAACAACTTTCTTAGCAGCAGACCTAGCAAGGAAATCAGTATAGTCTTTTTCACTTCATGTTAGCCCAAAAAAGCACAACGAGCTACTCTCCGGTAGGTTAGAATCAGACCTACTTATGGGAAGGCAAAAGTGTTCTCTCAGATGTTTAATAGTGTGCAGTTTCGTTTTGAAGGAGTTTAAATAAACAAGCCATCCTTTTCCCCCTGTTCAAAACAGACTGTAGGCTATCAGCCGACAATTTGACCTTATCGATCTGATCAGATTTACTATCGAGACTGGATAAATGTTTATTTATCACAATAATCGCAGTACTCACAGATTCTATTTTCCCTACAATAACAGTTGCAACTTATACGGCTGCAACCGGCGCCGGTGTAATACCACACTTGGGGCAATCCATTTAATATATATAATTACATTTCCCTATGACTCGTCTTTATTGCCATATTCACCACGTCTCATTACTGTACGTTCCGGCTTACTTCAGGTAATATTTCTGTACCATATGTTCTCGGATAAAGGCGTCGGTTGATTGATCCAAAAGTGAGTTCACCCAAACAGTTGTCAGTTCAATACCTGGTCACGGAATCGTTTACTGTCGGGACTAAGCAGTATCTGATCGCCTTGGAACATCCGACTTTCGCTCTTGCTCGACGAAAACGCGCTTGTCACACGCCATCGCTACAGTTCGGCTTACAGCGATCCAAAACGTTCACCTCTAACGTCGCAATACAAGTGGCTTCGACCGCTCCCTTAGATCATTGACGGAGACCGATAGAAGTAAACGAGGCCATCTTTCCCCATTCGATACTTATCGTATGCAAGCTGTAAAAGCCCGCTTTGGGCACTAATTTTTTCAAAGTTAACGTACCGGCCGCTGCGGACAATCGGTCAAGAGCACCCTTGGAGGAGAAACAGCCGACTGTGCACGCGTGATAAACGGATGCGAAGGTGGAAGTGTAGGTAGGTAGAGTAAGGTTGCATGAAATGGCAGGAGGAAAGGGAAGAGGAGTCGGCGACGAGAAAAGACGGCGAGACGGAGCGACGACAACACGAACCCCTTTAAATGACGACGGTGACGCAGACGACGAGTGAATGTCGCTGGCCGACGCCGACTGACCCTGCGCCGCAAAATGTAACGGACCATCTTTTTACCGTATAAAACCCGCCACCGCCCCTCGTTGAACTCCCGCACCGCTGCGACAACCTACTACTCCCCCGGTTAACTTCGCCGGCAAGACCGCATGGTGGATTTGCAAGCGCTTGATACAGAAAGTACCTGGAATGTGCACGGATGCCGAAAGTCAATGACGGACGATGGCGCCGCCGCCCTGGGGTCACGATCACCAACCCGAGTTCGGACTTCAAAATGTTAACCGCAACAACTTTAATATACGCTATCGAAGCTGGAATCACCGCGGCTGCTGACACCAGACTTACCCTCCAGTTGGTCCTCGTTAACGAATTTGAAGTGTACTCATTTCGATCGCTGCTTATTTTTAGTCAGTACCCCCCCATGCTGGAAGTGGGTAATTTGGGCACCTGACCATAGTCTGAAACTGAGGCACCCCCCACCACAAAACAAAAAATACATGGCACGTTGGCTAAAGAAAGATCTCGGTTCTGAATTCGAACGTATATCGCCTGAAGAAGGCCGGGATGCCCAATGGTCGAAACCTTGTGAATATGGAAATAAAGATGAAGACAACAGTCCGAATGATTTAAATTGCACTGTTCACTGTGTTTACATTGAGTCTAAAGCTAAACTACCGTGCCAGGGATTGAACTCACAATTACTATATTACCACGTTTGCGAAACAACGCCTTCATCGATTAGACTTCGTTTTACTTGGATATTGCCCCTTGTCACAATCTAGTCATGAACATGGAGCCTTAGATTTAATCTATCTGCTACTGGCAGAGATACAGATTGTCAGATTTTTACTGCATTCACGGAAGTTAAGCAACGTCGAGTCTGTTCAGTACCTAGATGGGTGACCGCTTGGGAATACCATGTGCTGTAAGCTTAGACATGCGGTAGGATAATGGATAACGTCTCGCAATTGGAAATCGGCGGAAATCAGAGAGCCGAGTTCAAATTCCATTTGAGTTTGTTATATTTGCCTGCGGGCAAATCCCCTTAGGAAGAGCAGGAAGCCTCATTTTAGCCCCGGTTATGGGTTAATTAGTCGGACATGTACTAATAAATAATGATTATCTCAAAACAGAATTATAATCTAAACTATTTTTTCGCCTTTTTATAACCCGCAAAAGGTTGATACGCCTTATATAAGAAATCAATCAAAACTCAAAATATTAGCATTTTGGGAAAACGTTATCCACGTGATAAAAGTAAGTAAATTTGCGTCCGAGTTCTGAGTATATCTCTATGGAAGTTACTGAACGAACTGTTTCTTTTTATCATCCAACAGATATAGGTCTTACTTCAATCAATAATCTAATGCTCATTACTATCTAACATTTTAAGTCAATTCAAAATCCAAAACATATTTTCTATATTTTGATCCGCTCTCAAGAGAATTCGTAATAATAAGCAAGACCAAACTGTATTACTATAATAAAAAAAAAAACTTAATCCAATATTAATCGATAGCCCCAGATTTCTAGTTGAGTTCAGGAAAAAAAAAAACAAATTATGTTGATCTCTTACATAATTTGATGAAAAATCTTCATTCCAGGATTTACTTTGGACTAATGAACGACATTGTTAATTTTATGTTGATTTTTAACGTAATATTTAGGGGCTTACGGCCGCATCAGGTTGAAACACAGGTTCCTGTAAGATCACCAGAGAAACGTCGAGCCTGGTCATTACATTGACTGGTGACCGCTTGGGAATACCAGATGCAATAACCTTGTATGTGCGGGTGGTGTAATGGATAACTCCACAGAGTTTATAATCAGAGAGAAGGGTTCGAATTCCCGTTACGTTCGTTTTATTCACTCACGCACAAATACTATTGGGAAAGGTATAAATCCAATTCTACTCTCCCAACAACTCTTGGTTATTTAATAAGACTTGTATCGCTCATCCATTATAATCTAAAAAAAATTGTTAAAATCTAAAAATATTTCCTGTCTTTAAATAACCTGCAAGTTGTTGAAACAAATGCACCAATCAACCAACATTTCGGCTTGACTAAACTTTATACTTCCACGGGGTAAAACTCGTAAGAAAGTGTCTCTCTTTTACAAAACCTTTATTTATAGACATTTTTTGTTTTTGTTTACTTGGAGATAATAATGATATTATTTTTTTAATCCGTCATATGTTTAACCTTTGAGCCCCGCGTTCAATTTTAAACCCTTCTGCCTGAGCTTATGAGTCAAAATTTGCAAATGATTGGTATGTAATGTTTCACGGTAGATATAAATATAGTTACAAGTGTTTACCCACCGCTCAACCGGTACCAGAACATTAAATCATTTTTTTTGTTACCACTGTTCAACTGGTCGCTGGGTATTAATTATTTTTCTATACCACCGTTAAAACAGTGGTCAAGGTTCAAACGGTTTATACACCAAAAGCTATGTTTAGTGGCTACCCGTATTTGCGTACAAGCTTCGTTTATTTTAAACAGTATTTATTTGGTCTACCGGCCATGAAAATTGAGAAAAACGTAATAAAGAGACAAGCGGAGCTTCTAGTCAAAATATAAGGTCTTAATTCACAAAAATATGTCTGATTAAAAAATAAAACATATTAATTCTTTAGAAATTGTCTGTTGATATATCGGTTTCTAGAAAAAAGTCTAAAGGAGCGAGTGCGCTTTGTTGACGCTAAAATAGACTCTTGTTTTATTGGGAAGCTTTTTGTCGCTGAGAGAAACCAGAACGCCGGATCAATCTATGCTTCCTTCTTGAAAGAAGAACGCATATTCGAAACCTGCTGAAGGGCACATTTTCTTTTGTAATTTTTTTCGAGGAAGCAGGGCGGCAGACGAAATAATTACTGTTAAAAATACACAGAATATCTACTTAAACAGGGTTATCTACTAAAAAAAAAATAACGCTTGAAGAAACAGATAATGGATAAATTGTCTAAAATACGTAAAAATTAAAATAACACTGATATTTTATTTTAGCAGGTATATTTACGAAAATTACCTACAAAATATCTTAAAATGGTAAAAAGGTAAATTTATTCAATAAAATAAACTCATGATATATAAACTTATATATAATATAATATTATATATATATATATATATATATATATATATATATATATATATATATATATATATATATATATATATATACAGGGATATGTAGGACGTCCATGGCTAAGATACAAAGACAAGCTGAAAAGCAACTTGTCAGCAGTCAATATACCACATAACACCCATTAGCGCTTAGCCTTGGAGCGGGTAGAATGGAGATCAGCGTGTTTTAGTGGACTCAGCAATTTTCATTTTGCTTGACTGAATCATCTTCAAGAAGCGAGAGCAAGATCTAAAAGGTCAACCAATCTTACAGTGATCTCATCTCACAATCCTCACACTTGCTCAATATGTGGGCTCCTTTCTAAATCACTACCAGGTCTTAATGCCACTTAAGATTATCGCACAAAATTTTATAACTGAATCAAGTAAGCTGTCAGATCCTCATACGTCGAAACCGACGGGAGAGTCCATTATCATTATATATATATATATATATATATATATATATATATATATATATATATCATGGAATCTTAATTTCGTTAGTCAGATGGGATGGCAGGACACCTCGAAGATGAAAAAATGACGACTGCATCCCTTGATAACTGAGCTAAAACTCATCCCACCACGTTCTACGAGAGTAATCAGGAGAGTAATGTGAGGGATAAAAAATCAACTTGCCAACTCAAAATTACGAGGCTTTTAAAAATTGTGTGGTAAGAAATCACCCCATATGACTAACGCAGGATTAAAACAGAAGCTTGAAAGAATTTTTGGTTTGGTATTCAGTGAATGCTTAACAATCTCTCTACGCAGGTGGAAACTAGAGAAAACAAAAATATGGTTCTACAGAAGGATACTGTAGACGGAACGAGTAAGCAAAAATGAATTTCCTCGACGCGAAAGGAAAAAATAAATGTTTAAAAAAGTTAGCCCTCACATGGCATATTCAGGGCCGGAGAGATAGGAGAAAGACACAAACCACTCACTGGACCTTATTTTGTGAACTAATGGCTTAACGAGGAATAGAGAAAAATAATTCTAACGACCACAAGGAATATAAGTTGTTTTGCAGTGTCATGGTCGGCCATGTCCTGAAGCGACGAGGCATAAAGACTAAGAGTAAAACGAAGTAGCAAGCAGATAAAGGTAGTAAATTTCTCTCACTTGCTGTAACCTCTCCGTCACTGACAAGCAACATTTCCCTGTTGAAGACAATAGAATTAGCCGATAGAGAGCACATTGAGTTGTACCATTTATTCTTACAAGATAACATTTCCCCTGGGGAAAAAGATAGCTTATGACTTTCAGTGAGAAATCGAGAAGGTGCGAAACTGGGGCATTGGCCTGAAGACAGCCGATGCGCTCCACTGCAAAGCAAGAAGTATAATGCCCCGAACACCAGTCTGAGTTACAGAAGCGACAATGAAACACCTCCATAGGGTTAAACTCTGAAATGAACTAAAGACGACAGTGTCGGATAGAAATGATGATAAAGTCATTTTATTCGCAGTTTCGTACCATTTTAATATTGATTTTTGCCTCTGTGGGTTGGCTCATATTTCCGAGCATGAGAATGCATAATTACTTTTCAAACACCGTAATATTTGAGAAATTATTAGGAGATAAATGTGGCTCAGTTTCAAAAATATTTGAAAAATGAAAAATGTAAAAAATAAAACACGCTTCAACTGAAAACTAAAAATAAACGTATCTGACACAGTTTATTTGCTTTCATAATTTAATATTTTATGTCACTTTTGCATTTTTATTTGAAACAAAAATTATAGTCCTCGATTTAAACGTCAAATTAATAAATTAATCATTGACTAATTCGGCTTAAATGTCAGTTACCGTTTATCCATTTTGTTTGGTCCTGATCTCATTACCGATATTTCTCTTAGCTGTGTGAAAAATGAGCAGTTGTAGCAGAAACAAAGCGAGGCTTTCAGATAAACTTGATACTATTTCTCTGGTGTTAAATTTAATAAAAGATTCGCCTTGAAATTAATTGACTTAAACTCTTCACTTTCAGTACGGCTCAGCATTATTGAAAAGAATTTCAATGTGTCAATTTAGTCCTTCTCTACTGCGATTTTTTCCTCTTATTTTGAAAATAAAAAGATGGCTGCGCGGTGCAAATATTTTGTCCATAACTGCTGCAATTATAGCGACCACAGAACAAAACAGTTGCACTGTGCCGGAAAGGTGTAAGTCAAGGTAAGGTAATCATTCTATCTAAGAGAAAATAATGAAAGCAACGTTTAGCAAGTTATACGCGCAGGGCAAGAGTAATGCTTGTTTTTAATAGAATTTACGCCAAGCAAAGACGAAAAGTCATCAAGGGGTTACTGTCTG